AAAAACAAAAAAACAAACTATGTGTGTGTATATTCTTCCCGTAGATGTCTCATACTTGTATTTCTATGTGTATGTTCTTACCGAAGAAACCATGTCAGGCCTTCAGGAATGAAGATAACGCAAGGATAGAAGAGAAAAATGACACATTTTCTTTATTTATTGATGACGTGTGCATACAATTAAAAAAAAAATTCACATAAATTAAAATGATGGATTGTAAATGGTATTGAGTAGAAGTGTAATGGGATTCCACAGAGGGAAAGGTGAAAAACACCTTATAATAGGTTTGTAAGGCAAAAAGTGTAACAGGAACCTATGAAGCTTAATATCAAATGTAGGAAATATAATACGACTCGTTTGAAGAGAAGGGGAGGAAATTTTAAAAGGAGGTTGGTGGGGGAAGTTGAAGTAAAATTTATAGGAATGTAGATGACAAGCGGGTAAATTTAATAAGATGTGAATGGAAGTGTAACAGAAAACTGTGGATATAAAATGTTACGGATTACACCTGTTTTAGCACTAGCGTATAGAGGTTTTTGTCTCAGAAAACTTAGCTAATCTTAAAACAATATCTGTAAAATAACTATTATGTTTGTATTTATTATCCCTTGGATTAATGTGTACCATTCTGTTGCCTGAGTTGGCACTGTTGCCTGGAAGTTATGTCCTGTATTTTTAAGAGATGGTTTAAGACAGGAAAGAATTGATAATGAATTCTAAAATTTTATATTACACAAAAATATGCAGTTTGAAACAAATTCACTCTTGCTTTAAACAGCTTTATTTAGGCGTTATTTTTGTTTAAAAACAGTGCAAATATTTAAAAAAATTATCCAAACTCAAATACTTCAGTATTCTATTCCGATGTCTGTTTATACGTCATAAACAATAACGATGGTTTTTCTACCTGATATACAGTGTGTCACAAGGTTCTCTCCTGATATACAGTGTGTCACAAGGTTCTCTCCTGATATACAGTGTGTCACAAGGTTCTCTCCTGATATACAGTGTGTCACAAGGTTCTCTGGGATCTTAAGTTCTCTTTTTCATCACAAAAACATCCAGATAAGATAAATTAAAATATAATTCTGCACAATCTGGTGATTAATATTTAATGGTTTAAAATTGCCGTCATTAACTAATGCTATGGGAATCTGGACTTTGCAGTTACTAGATCCAGTAGGTTAGTTAGTTAAGCTAATCCCTGTTTCCACTGTTTTTTTTTTAACCTGGTATTTACTTCGCTCAAACATTTTGACAGTTTCAAATTCGTAAATATCATGTTTTAGTTTTGCATCTTCGCTAGACTTCCTGTTTTGGTTTAATGAGCCCTAAGAGATTTGAGTCAGATCACGTTTGTAGCACGTGCTTTAGTACAGTGTACGTATTTCTAATGTTAAACGTGAAGAGCTGTTACCTGATACTTACCAATCCTGCGAGATTGCTTGATTTGTGCAAATGTCCACTGTCCGTCGCTATCTTGATGAAAGGCTCTAGAAAAGAAAACACGACTTGGTAACAATCAATTCTGTAACCAGCAGTGAGAGTATCCTTGCATATCTACTATTCAGAACGTCTCTTACATTTCCATCCTACCATTGAAAATGTAGGCTGTGTATACGGATACGTCGATTAGCTATGGCCAGTTGCCAGGAGATGCTAAAGCTTGGATTTGCCAAGTCTATATTAGATTGGTTGTGGTTTTGAGTAGTAAGAGTACCGCAAATACGTAAGTTTACGTGTATTTAATAAAACCTAATTTAACACACCTTTTGAAGCCTATCAGAGGATAAATGAAGTCTATAAATGACTAAACGAGTATATTTGTTTATATGAACACCGATATTTATATGCTTAACCCTTTTTTCGTCAGTCTTTTTTTGTTTTTGAAATGTGTTCGAGCAAATCACGGAAAGGGAATTTTAATATTCGAGTTATTTACGTGCTCTAATGCTTTATATATTAGTCACCGTGATTATCAGTGTTCACGTTTCAACGATGTTTCAAATATTTTTAAACACTTCTCAATGTGCTTTATTTCCACTTACGCATATCCATAAATAAAAACAAATTTCTAGCAGCCTAAGATTGTTTGGGGGTCTAAGCGAAAAACGTTTATTTTTTACTGTAAAATTTTCTACGTGGTTCATGCAAATTGCATACTAAATATATAAGCATATCTATCACTTACTAAAACTAAAAGCTCTCACTGCCACTGTCGGTCTGTCATAAAAAACGTGACCAAAAGACGAATTAAAGGGGTGACACAGCAAGCTTACAGAGGGTTGAGTACGTTATATTAAAACGATTTGGAATATGCAAATCAAGTCACTAACAACCAAAATCGATATATAGTCACGGTGTAATGACATACATCAGGATTGCATTTTGACATTGTTTATCGTTACGTGATGCCTTGGGAAAGCAAAATATTCATACATTGACATAAAGAGATATTCAGATTGGGGATATCCTTGGTAATTAACGGTATTGGGAAATGAAGGAATATAAGTCAATGTGGGGCTACAGAAACACCCAGAAAGAGACCTGCATACAAGTCGCACCTCAGCCGTAAGCAAAGTGTGACGTCTTGTAACAGGTAAATAGCAGTGGCAAAATCCGTTCACGTGCCCCGGGCTATAATATGCAACCTAATCAAGAACGATTTTCATCTGGAAAGAAGACCAACGGAATATGGGTTTGCTAAGATAAAGGTTCCAGTTATACCTTCCATTCAATCGTCAGATACATCAAACAGCCGGAGAATAATCCGGGTATTCATGCTCTTTCATACGAAACACTGGTCAGGTAACTGGACGTAGCGCCCGTGAATTTCTGTGGGATTAATTTGTTGAGACGTGGCCTTGTGGATTTGAGAGATTGTGAGAAGCACACAAGTGAAGTAGGATGTTTTGGACACGACAGTCTTACTAATAGAAACTACGATGCAGGGCAGTAATGTTAAGACATACAATCGTCAGATAGGGCATGATCAGACGTCGTAACGTGGACTGTAACGACGTGGTTAGGAACCAAAATCGTTTTAATATAACGTATTCAACCTCTGTATTATAAAATGTTAAAGCTGTGTTACATCAAATACAAGGTTCATATAGGATAGTAAGGATAGCAGCTAGTCCCCTATAGTAATACAAACTATCATACATGAACACTGCTGACACACACAAGGTGGCAAAGATACACTTGTATTGGAACTGTTAGATACATCCGATAAATTGGTTTTTCGTATCTTGCAAGCTGAACAATGGTTATATTTTAACCCATCTTTCTTGCTAGTATCCCTTACAGCTTTTATTAAGTTGGACAAGTTGCCCTGTGCCGTATTATATAAGACGAAATAAATAGGATTGTAGCTAATAATCCTGTGAGTTGATGTATTAGTTCATAACTAGGTGATAATAGCATTTATATTTTTATCCCTACAGTGTTCCAGGAGTTATAATTTACCGTTGTATGTAAATTTTAATGATATGAGTATTTTACAGAAGTGCCTAAAACTACACTGTCGCACCTTGGGCAACTTGGCTTTATCCTTAGATCTTGCACCTGTATACAATATAACTTAAGAGTCTCACGAAAAATATTGCTTACTTGAGAACTAACGTGTCCTCCACTGTACCAGTTGGAATAAGCCACTTCAGAAACAATTCTGGTTTGGGAGTTAGTAACACAGTCGAAGTTAATGGCTCCTCTGTCTGTACACAAAGCACAGCTGATGAGGGGTAAGCTGTGAAATTTCCTCTCGGATACGATGTTACCAATAGAGGGCGTTCCACGTTTTTAAGCGTCATCAACCAGACTATTCGGAGAATAGAATAAAGTTTTAGTAACAAGGAAAACATCGGAAATGTCCACGATTTTGGGAATTTATCATACACAGGAAATATTTAATTAATTTCCTTATTAGAAGATATATACTAAGAAATAAAATACAGTACGATATGTATACTTTCACTGCCAAGCATTTAAAGAAGATTAATAACTTTAAAGAACCGTGTAAGTCCTTACCACATTAGGTGCTATATTAAATAAAAACGAGCAAAAAAATGTGTGTAACAGCTCATTAAATAACGGTGGTTTTTATAAACGGTACTGAATTTCATTAAAGGGTTTCATTTGTTTATTTGTAGTTAAGCACAAAGCTACACAATGGGCTATCTGTATTATGCCGACCAAGGGTATCGAAACCCTATTTCTACCAGTATAAGCCTGCAGAAATACCGCTGTGCCGCTGGTGGGCAATTGCATTAAAGATTGATCATTGAAGCGCTATAGTGTAAAGTTACACTGTATCATTCTCGTGGTTCAGTAAGACGTAAAAACGACATACATTTAAGATTATAGTGTAATTCTCCTAGAACATGGGAAAGTTGCCAATAGAGAGTAATAATTTTGATTAATAATAAATTGTTTCTGTAATTCTGGCAAACCTCTAAGACTTAGGAAGTTGAGTAGGTTGTTTAATTCTGAATGTATTGTTTCTTCAGCATCATATTTCGAAAGCTGGTTTCTAATCGTACTTGTCATAAGACATTACCCCCCCCCCCCAGTGGCACAGCGGTATGTCTGCGGACTTACAACGCTAGAATCCGGATTTCGATACCCGTGGTGGACAGAGCACAGATAGCCCATTGTGTAGCTTTGTGCTTAATTACAAACAAACAAACAAGGAACAGCATGCAAGTGGGAAGGTGACGTTCGAATAACTTAAGCATAGGGAGACACCACATGTTGTTTAATAGGAGGTTTCAAATAAGCCTTTCTGATACTAAATCATATGTACGAAAGCAACAGAAACTACAGAAAAATAAAAGTTCTGTTGATTTTTCTACTGAAGTCTCCTCTTAATATCCCCCCCCCGTACTTAGGGCACCGAACGTCACGTGGCTAATAACTCGGAACTATTCGTATTAGCAGAAGTTTCTGGGAACGTTGGACTACACGGTTTTCGAAAGCATTATTTGTCTAAATATTTTTTAAATCTCAGTAAAATATTACAAGAGGACTGTTTCATATCAATAGCTGGCAGAAAGTGTTAACTGTAAGAGATTCATTAATAACACAGTACTGCGATGGTTTTATTGTCTTTTTACCAGTAATTTTACGAGTAATTCCTGTACTCTGAATCCGAAAATGATATCCATTTTTCTCCATCACGTACAGATTTTTCACAAAACATAATAACGTAATACATAAAAGAAAGACCATAACACGTAGTTTTAGACTAAAAGATATAGATGTCGCAAAACAATCAGGATGAATGAGGATGCATATTCGTTTGACCACAATGTTCTTCCCTTTTCTTCAGTTTGTTTGCATTTTTAACAAACTTAATAATAAAAAATGTACATTGTGATAACCGAAATAATAATTTGATCTAAGTAAGAGTTTGTTTTTCTTCCCGATTTGTAAAAAATCTTTACGTGAAAAGAAAATAAATATTATTTTCGAAATCTGCGTAGCTAAGTTATGGAAAAATCCGTCATTAAAACCAAAACAACTTTTATGAAGTATAAATTCGCAGACCCGTGTAATAATAGATAGGCTTTGCTTCGCAGGCCTATATAATAATAAATAGGCTTTGCTTGGCAGGCCCGTGTAATAATAGATAGGACTTTGCTTCGCAGGCCTATATAATAATAAATAGACTTTGCTTCGCAGGCCTATGTAATAATAAATAGGCTTTGCTTGGCAGGCCTGTGTAATAATAGATAGGCTTTGCTTCGCAGGCCTATATAATAATAAATAGGCTTTGCTTGGCAGGCCTGTGTAATAATAGATAGGCTTTGCTCAGCGAAACTCCCAACTATTATGCCATAATATTCGTTCTCTTCTAACCGGAGGCCAGGCGTGGGCTAGTGGTTAGCATGCCACAGAATGAAGTCGAGGTCCAAGGTTCGTTTCCTGTTGCTGCAGAACCGAGCTTAGTACTTTAGGACCATGGTTGTTTTATAAGAATTACAGCCAAAACTTACTATTAGATCAGAGTAGCCTAAGAATTGACGATAGGCACCATTGACTAGCTGCCTTCAAAATTAGGGATGGCTAACGTAGGCAGCCCTTATGTAGCTTTGCTCAAATATCCGAAAAATTATTCTAACTGGAAAATCACTTACATTTTAGATTTGTTATATGATGAAAATGCTGCATGTTCACTCTTTTTTATTAAAAACCTAGTGTTGGAGCCATGTAGCGTTTTGAACATAAAAGAAGGGTGTATATATTAATATATTAAAAAAAGAAAAATATTACATCATAAGGAAGAATAGCGTGAATTTAACACAGCATATCCAAACCTTAGATTAAAAATAATTAATTGTAATATTACGTAGAAAATGAAAGAAAATATAAAATAGAAACAACGCAGCTACAAAACAGACATGTACCACCTTATGGTGTGTGCCAGGTGGTACATGTCACATAACTACCCACCTTATGGTGTGTGTGCCTAGGTGGTACATGTCACATAACTACCCACCTTATGGTGTGTGCCCAGGTGGACATGTACCACCTGGCACACACACCATAAGGTGGGTAGTTATGTGACATGTATACATGTCACATAACTACCCACCTTATGGTGTGTGCCTAGGTGGTACATGTCTGTTTTCTAGCTGCGTTGTTTCTATTTTATTTTATTTTTTCATTTTCTACGTAATATTACAATTAATTATATCTATATGAACATTGATGAACGTAAAGAAAAGGGCATTTATAAACAATGGACGTAAAGGACGTATGTATTTATAAACATTAATGAACGTATAGAACGGGCGTGTTTTTAAACATTAATGAACGTAATGGACAGATGTATATATAAATATTAATGCCTTCAGTAGTTTGGGGGATTTGTTGTCTTTGTAGGACAAAGTTAAGAAGTCTGAACCTACGTATGAGAACATTTTTAATCTGTGGAAAGACTTAAGAGTTAAACAAGCTTGTCTCTAAAGAAAAAAATTACAGTATTCTTTACAACAGTGATTAGCATCAATTTTTGCTTGAACTACTCAAACTACAAATCACTGTTTTAGTTCCATGTTGTTATCTAGAATTACATTTGGTGGAGTCAAAATAGGGATTTGTAGTTTGACCAAAAAATGTTTGCAGTATCTCCAGCCTTGTCTCCTTACTTTTTTACAATCCATATTTGCATGTTTTTAAATTCACAATTTTTTATTTGTCTTGTTTGCTGGCTTTTTTATGCTCAACTATGTACAAAGGAATACTTGACATGGAGTTAACTTTGTAATGATAATAAATATAGCTAGTAGCTAGCTGATAAGGTTTTCATTTCATACATATATAAGGATTGGCTCCCTAAAGACACTGGTTGTATAGTATACAAAGTACTGAGAATCTACATGGTACATTCATTACTAGTTGGTAATACCCGTTTCACCCTGTTCCTAAAAAGGAACACCAGATATTTGTAAAAATACTAACTTCAAGGGGTAATGATAACATCGTTTACACTAGAAGTATTATGTTTTTAGCTTATGTAAAATATAGAACAAACAAATCAATTTTTCAATACTCCTAGGACCTTCATAGTACCTTATTTGATATTCTATAAAAGGTTTGGTTGCAATATATCAAACTGTTTTTGTTGTAGGTTGGCAAGAGAATAATAATAATAATAATTACAAACGGGCATTGTAAGTCTAAAATGCATGATTTTTTGTGAATTTCTATATGTGTACAGCCTTAGCAGTCAATAGTAAAGGTTTTAAAGTGTTGCTTGAACTGAATCTTTACTGTTTAAGGTGTTTTTTGCCCGAACATTCTATTAGGTTTTTGTGCAATTCCTTGCTATCCCTATTATGAAACACGATAGTGGTTCATGCTAGGTGTTGTTATAAAGGTGTTTAAGGTGCTTTTTGCCCGAACATTCTATTAGGTTTTTGTGCAATTCCTTGCTATCCCTATTATGAAACACGATAGTGGTTCATGCTAGGTGTTGTTATAAAGGTGTTTAAGGTGCTTTTTGCCCGAACATTCTATTAGGTTTTTGTGCAATTCCTTGCTATCCCTATTATGAAACACGATAGTGGTTCATGCTAGGTGTTGTTATAAAGCATCCAACATGAAACAAGTGTAGTTATGTTGAATGCATGTGTTTAGAGATGGAAATTTTAAATTTACTACTTTCCACAGTAAAATTTATGCAAAAATTTTGTGTATTAAAGTATGCAAGAAAATAGTTTGGAAAGAACATTTTTTACATACTTTTTTTTGGGGGGGGGGAGAGACTCTTGTTTGGCAAAGCTTAAGTTAAGAGTTTAGTTAATATGAAGGAATTCGTCAAGAACACGTGCAAATCTGTAAGAAATGGAGCTTGCAAGAAAACCGTTAATGCGTCTGAATTAAAGTTAATGTGCTCGTTTTATGTGTACATGTGTATCCCATTAAGCTTGACTGAAAAGCAAAGAAACCCTAGTCAACTAACTTAGCTGATTTCGACTACGTTTCCCAACTAAAATTTCTACAACACCAATCTTTGTTCCGGAGCCGCCTTTACAATTAGCGTAGGGAATGCAGCTCAGTATACGAGTATAAAACTGAACTCTGGCACACTGATGTCTAAAAGCTCTCAGCTATAATAAGCCTACAGCACATTTTAAAGTAATATAGAAATAATCTTTACAGGTTATAAAAATTAATATTTTAACGGGGAAATTTATTATATCTCAATTTTGTATGCACATAATCAAATTTCAGTCCACGTGTTATAAAGGTAACAGTTAACACACGCTAAGCGATTTAATATTAAAACTACAGTTTTAGTGACCAGAATACATT